AACTCTGATCATGCTAGGGTACAATGTCGTTTTTGCATGACCTTTACCGGCAGGCGCACCAAGCACCTTTCTTGACTGCCAACTGAGACATTATCTCAGCCCTCGGTGGGGTAGACCAAAAAAGGATGCCTTGCGTACCGAACTATAAGCTCTCTTGTCCTAATGACACAGAGCTTCAGTGGAATAGGATCTCGGTAATCATGCAACATGCAGCAGCCTCTGCTTGCGGCAGTATCGATCATCACTGAACCAGTCACTGGATACCCGAGAGATCTGTGAACTTGTTGGAATCCAGAAGAAAACGCCGGGCTAGCTCTGGAAACAGTGTGACCGGAGGCTATTAGGCGCGGTCTAAAGTGGAGCCTAAGTGCTGACAAAGAAGCCTGGTGGACCATTCTGGCTCAAGAAATGGAGGAGCAAAGAGCAGTGGGCAATAAGCACAAGCTCTTCTAAATCATCCCAGAAAACAAGGAGTCAGCGAGGCAAACCGATTGCCCAGGTGTCCAGATTCACAATAAGTAGCACCGCATGGCTAGTTGGTTAGAGCACTTTCGAGATCAGTTCAATTGGCCTCTGCTGCCAGATCGCTTCCTACTCAGGTGATGCACGATGTGCCATGGACGGCTAGTTTAGAGGCTCCATCGGAGGCTGAGGTCCGAAACGCGATTACGGCCGTCAACCGTTTTCGTGCCGCTGGCCCGGATTCCCGCCCATCTGCACTAGTTAAGGATGGAGGTGAAGTCCTCTGCAAAGCACTGACCTCCCTATACGAACGTATCTGGAAGGAAGTGTCCCGGCTAACTGGAGTGAATCAATTATAATGACAATATACAAGAAGGGCAGTCGCACAGAACGTGCTGACCACAGAGATATTAGCCTAACGTCAGCTGTGACAAAATTACTGGCTTCGATGCTCGTTCGTCGCCTCACTGTGGAACAGGAATCTCGAATTAGGGAACAGCACCCAGATTTTCGCCTTAGACGTAGCTGCATAGAGCATATATTCACTCTGCGACAAGTGCCAGAGCAGCGCTACGCATAAGGCAGACCGCCGATAGCTGTGTTCCTCGACTTCAAGAGTACGTTCGATTCAGTCGATTGAGCGATTGTGTTCGACATACTTGTGCGGAAAGGTGTACCCATGAAATATGTGAATGTTTTACGCGCTATATACTCGAACATCACACGCCGCGCCAGCGTCTAAAGCAACTTACATCCTTCCGGCAACAAGTGGTGTTCGTCAGGGTTATCCAATTTCCCCATTTCGCTCAACTTCGTCGTGGGTTCCATCACGCAGTGTTCCCTTGCGGAGCGTCACGATGCAGGCGTTGAGGTGCTGCCTGGTGAAAGGTTAGTTGATCTTGACTATGCGGACGATATCGTCTTGCTTTTTGACAATGTTTCGACAGCACAACCAACGTTGAATAGTCTACCTAGAGTGGTCCCATTATTTGGTGTGTGCTTCGCACTTTCAAAGTGCAAAGTGTTGTTGCAGGACCACCAGCCACTTGATGACCCCTTGACGCTTGATAGCGAGGAACTCGAGGCAGTTGATCAAATCACTTATCATCCAATCACTTATTCATCCAAACCTATCGGTGTCCCATGAGTTGGAGCAACATGATAGTCTGGCATTTTTGGATATACTCATTAAGAGACGGACTGATGGTACACTGCATCGCACGGTTCATCGCAAGGCAACTTGGAGTGGGCAGTACCTCCACTTTTCCGGCTTTGCCCCGGTCGCATACAAACGTGGCCTAGTGAAAACGCTTTTCTACAGAGCCAGACGAATATGCAGCCCCTAAATGTTGCAAGCTGTAGAAGAATTTTTGTTCAAAACCTTGGTGTCGAATGGGTATCCTGAGAAGTTCGTTCAGATCCACAGCAGGCCTCCCAAGGAGAAAATGCCGGTGTTAACCGCAGAGAAAAAGAATGTTTACTTGTTCCTGCCGTTCAAAGGAGACCACGTATCAAATGATATCGGACATAAACTCCGGTCCGCCCTTACGCGCACCTACGCGACCGCCCAGTTGCGACTCATTCATACAACGCGAAGCCTTGTTCTTCATGACCGTCAGAGCAACTCATCAGTCAGTTCGGCCTCTCACGTCGTTTACCAGTTCACTTGCGGTTGCGGTGACATTTACATAGACAGGACTGACCGTCAGTTAGCTCAGAGGGTAGCTGAACATGTGCCGAGGTGGTTGGAACAACTGATGACGCAACAAAACGGAGTGGATCCGAGGATGAACCGGAGTCCCGCATCGTCTATCACCAAGCATTTCTTGGCAACCCGACATCAGGTCAACCCGGAGACTACGTTCAAGGTGTTGTTACGTAACAACAATCCGCTAATCTTGGCAATCAGTGAGGCCTTGTTAATTAGGGCTTATCAACCTGTGTTGTGTGCACAGAAACTATTGAGACAATCAATTAAGTTACCGTGGTCTTGATTTTAACATTTTGATTGGTGTATCAACCTTTTCCCCCTGTATATAACTGTCCATGAATCCCGCTTGTATTGTGTTTGCGACTGATGAGAACAATCGAAATGTTAACATATCGCAACATATGTCTTCTCACTGCTCTGACCAAATCACTTACATTGGCAGCTACATCAGCAACGAATGGCGCACAGTAAATGAAGTCAGTTCACATATTGCAAAAGCTATAAATCTCTCCATGAATCAGTAGGATGGTTCCCTCGGTTTGTAAAACCACAGTGAGGACCATCCTACTATATGAGAGCGAGACTTAGCCCCTTCGATAGGAGGATCTGGAGAGCCTTCAAGTCTTTGATCATCATTGTCTGCGAAGCATTGCTGGTGTCGGATGGTACCAGCGTGTCCGAAACAATGATGTGCGCAGGCGAGTACTAGGTAGTGCTAATCATGCTAGCTCCCTAGAACAACAGATAGCACAGAATAAGTTGCGTTGGCTCGGGCACGTGCTACGTATGCCTGGTTAACGCTTACCTAGGAGGGCGTTGTTTAGTCTGTTAGGTGTAGGGTGGCGCAAGGCTCGAGGTGGACTAAAATTGACTTAGCGGTGGGAAATGAAGTCACTGACGATCTAACCTGGTGCTGTTAGTCCGTCTCACCTTCCAGGTTGGAGTCTAGGAAATGTGCAGTGTTTGGCTGGAGACGTTACAGGACATGACTAGCAGTCGACACTAGTGGCGTGTCTGCTGCCCTCTCGTAGTCGGACTGCCTGTTTACAGTGCGCATGGTGTTGAGTTATCTGCGGGGTAATGGCTGATTATAACGCGAAATAGTGAAAGCCGCAAAAGAATTTGTCTCACGTATGCCGCCTTATCGCTGCACGATAGCCAGCTGTCTGTTACGGTATCTTGTTGACAACATGTAGGTGCCTTAAATGTTTGCTTTGAGCATTAGGATTTTCTGATAAGTTCTGCTTCTCTCCCTCTTAGTATTCTTCCTTCCGTAGGTCGTTGTGGTTATACAGCAGCGAAACATCAGCCCAAATGGATGATGTTCTGCTGTTGTTGTTGATTTGAGTAGCAGCATCTTTGCAGACAAGAATCTGGCTGAATGTTAACTCTGGAAATAAGGATGTAAAGCTAGTGAAACGACGCTCAAGCGAGCTGAATACAACTAAACGGTGCGGATCATCATCATTAGTACACAATAGTTGAAAGTGAGAAACACACTTCAACTGTTGTGATGCAATACACATAAAGAGAAGAAGTAAGAAAAAGCAGTGTAATAAACATTATGGAAGAAAAAATAGCAGGCAACATGATGCTTCAAGAGGAAGAGCGTGGTTGGAGGGGGAAGATAAACTGGATTGGGCATGCATGTATACACTGGCGACAGACTAACTAGTAGACACATAGCCCAACAGGACCATGGAGGAATACGGGTTTAATCACCACATCATCATGGATTTGGAAGAACAAAGAGACTGGCAACACAAACGCCAACCAAACGTATTCATTGTCCTTCGGACCCAAGCAAGGCTGTCGGGCACACTAACCCACGGCAACTTCAAAGTGAGGGACACTGTGCGGATAGTCAAGGTCGATTCCATTTCGCATAGCACGTAAGAGGAGTGGCCTGGTTCGCATTAGAGCGCATTATGGTGCTCAAAATGCATACAAGAGAAAATATACAATTGAGAGACACCGACATTTTCGTTGTGTTTACTCGAGGCTCAATAAAGTCTTTCCATGAGACGTACTTACAAAGTGGACGCGATGAATGTCCAGCACCTATTAAGCATACAAACAAGCTTCGTTCGTTGGTATGCCGCTGCCCAAGCGCCTTCTCAGTTCAAGTGAGGAGGAGCCCAATGAACGCAAAATTCGTACCACGTTTGAAGAAGACAGAGGCCGATCAGCCATTCTGGCCAAGGAAAACTAGGCAATGGAATCAGGTGGTGAAAGCCGGTAGATGGATAAAGCAACGCAAACGTGGTTGGTTTTCCGGTGGAAAACCGCACTAGACTTGCACAGTTAAAATGTAAAGGCATTGAGTGGCTAAAGTTGCACTTAAAAACGCAAAAATGCGGTACATCAATGGAATCATTCGTTTCAATCAGAAGATGCAATGTAGCAATTAAGTCAGCTGAAGTTCGGGTATTTTTAAATATAAACTGCGCTGTTTAGAGATCACCTTAGAAGCTATTACCTGGCAACAACTTAAAGAGCGAATAAAATTTAAAGAAATTACTCAGCATCAATCAAATTCAACAGGTCAGGAAACGACAATACAGAGTCTGGATGCTGTAGAATACGTTTAGGAGCACAAAGTTACTACACGAGAACCCTGGCGCGCAGATTATTGGGTTAAAATGGCAGGTGTGAAGGGAAGACGCTGGTGAGTGATCAGACAGCTGGCATGGAAAGAGTCTATGGGTGATAAGAAGGCCCAACGCGAGTCAGATGCACGGAGAGACAAGATCGGAAAAACCACTTGGAAATATTCATGAAAGTAGGAGAAAATAGATCACTATGACCAAGTGTAACACAGACTTACGGAGCCAAATTGACTTCGTCTACCTCAAAGATTGGAAGATCCATCTCATCAGCAGAGAGAGATGTGTCTCCATTACAGGGAGCGTAGAGATCAGTGGATCCATTGGGGCGAGAAAGAACAAACAAGTCGTCACCTTCGCTATCATGTGGGTCTGGGGGAGATATCCGGAGTCTGCCGTTAACAGAGGGTGAAAGTTTTACCGTTTCCGCACTAGGAGCACATTGAATCACCGAGTTCAGGGGGACAGGCGTCTTAGGGGAAGTTCCTCCAGACGGAGTCGCGGTCGAGGTATCATGCGTCGCCCAGGGAGAGTGATGAGGAGCGGAACCGAGTAGTTTATTTTCAATAACACTGCAGGTAGGTCCCCGCAACCAAGAGTCATCCGGACCGTCAATTGTAGCTGGGAGAATAGATGCAGATGGTAAATGTAGAAATATATATATATATATATATATATATATATATATATGTATATTATATATATTCACAGTCTGTTAACAGACATTGCGCCATCAGAACCATGGCAGAAGAAAAAAGTGGAGATAGAAACACGAACTGCGATAATAATAAAAGGGAAAACGATTTTTTTAATTTTACACACGCCAGTTTGATATTTTTGTCTCGTGAGTTTTGTGTGCATTAAAGGGGGGATATAAATGCAGAACAACATCGACGATACTGATGTCTGTTGCGGGCCCTAACATACAATATTTCCAACCACTGAGATCCAACATCTCGTGGTCCCCAATCTAGAAGACGGACTGGTCTGACTGTCGCCAAACTTGAGGTTGCCTTCTTCATGCTCTTTCTCCACGTCATTGGCTATCCAGCGCGGCACTTTTTCCAATCGCTCCCTAGGAGTGCAAATAGCGCTCGAGGTGGAAGGCGATGGGCTGGTATGCGAAAAACGTGTCCGAACCAACGCATGCGATCCGTAGAATGGCGTTCTGAAGACTGGCATTACTCGATCCAAGCGCTCGGTATTGCACCACTGCGTTGCTTGCGTAGTGTTGCCACCACACCCGAGCAATACTTCGTAGACAGCGATTGTCGAAAACTGACAGCCGCTTCATTTCTTCCGAGCGAATAGGCCGTCTCACAGCCGTACAAGAGTACCGCACGGACGGACGCACTGCACACCATGCCCTCGAGCTTAAGACTGACATCACGACGATGCCATAGGTGATGAATGCAAGGCAGGCCTTTGCCATCCGTTGTGAGACTTCATCTCCAGTACCGCCACCAGCCGTAATACAACTCCCTAGATAAGTAAAGCTAGACACTTGTTCCAGAACATGTCCAGCAATGGTGAGCGCGAGTTCAGGCACCTGCCAGTCCTGGAGCAGCGTTTTACATTTTCCCGGAGTGAAGCATAAGCTGTACTTAGACGCCTCCATCGCTAAGTGGTCCAAAGCGGTTTGGACGGTTTGTGAGTCGTCTCCCAGTAAGGCGATATCATCGGCGTAGTAAATGCAGAAAATGGTCTTTGAAATAAAAAAAAAACAAGGGAGTGAGGAGTAGGCGAACAGTACGTTGATAGATACACGCTGATGAGACACTAAGCGAGCCACAAGGGAAGTTAGTGAATAAAAAGCGTTGAATCCAAACAAGGAGCACTAGAGACAAATCTGTGCACAGAAACGGGGTGAAGGCTCTGTTTATAACACAGCCTGAGTATATAGCTACGTTTGTCTTTAATCAGTTGAATGCATAGCATACATAGAACAAGAAATAAAATTTGAAGAGTTTACTTATGTTACACAACGATCTGGGCACCGAAGCGCGGTAGATTCCGTTGACACGACTCACGTCGCAAGTACAACAATAAATAACAACGGTAAAAATGAGATTGATTGTAAACGGCACACAAAGAAAGTAAAATCAAGTGCACAAAATTAATCGGGGTGGAATGAAAACTGGCGGTTATATGCAGGAATGCCACGGACTGCGCGACTGCAACAAGTCCGATAAAGTACCCAACCGCTGATGCGGATTATCGCGGGGACCACCATCAATGAAGACGGTGTGCACCAGACTGAGCAAGCCCTTCATGGTTTCACCCAATAAGGTGTACCGACAGCAGAAAACACACTTCAAGGAAGGCTATCAACTGGAGATCGGAGAACATGGTCTATCCAAAATAAACGGTCGAATTTTAATAGGCACCGCTGAGAATACACCTATTATTATTACTATCATTACTACTTCAGAATGGAACGAAAGCTAGCAAACAGATAAAAGAAAATGAATGCAGGAAATCCCAATGACTGCGCCATGTGTTACGGTCTCCATCCATTGAGGTGAACCATCTAGAGACCCCCATCCAACAAAGACGGCACGCACCGGCCTGAGCAAGTCGCAGTCAGTTTTCTTCACGCCTCTATTCCACGTCATGGACTAGCGACCTCGCGGTTTAGCCCAAATTGGTGCAGTCACGGCGTATATGGCACGCCGAGGAAGCCGGTCAACGGGCATACGGAGGACATGGCGTATCTAACGTAAGTGATTAAGATTCCGCGCACATTTGAATTAAGCACCAAAGGGCTTGTTGCCAAAAACGAATTGGCGGACCTCAACATGCTCACACGGTGCTCACACCAGACGTGTTCAATACTCCGCATGCATCGGTGATCGAACACGGCCAAGCGTTTAATGTCTCCGCCGCGAACTGGCCAGGTTACTGAATTATATGGTAAAACTGACCTTACCGCAGTGTTATGCATTCTACCTTTCAATGACAGGCTGATATCCTGCCGTCTCCATAGATGGTTGAATCTGAAATGCCACACGGGCCTTGCTGATACGCGAAGTAACTTTCTCAGTGATGTGACCACCAGAGGTGACACAGTTACCAAGATAAGTGAACCGAGCCACCACTTACAGTGGCTGTTCGGTGATAGCTAGGATATGTGGCATAGCAGACCAGTCCTGCAGCAGTGCTTTGCATTTTGTTGTAAACCCCATTGCTACGCGGGCAACGCCACGTGTAAGCCTATTCAAAAGCTACTGGGTTTGTTGCGAGCCTAAGATCAGTAAGGCAATCCGGAAAAAAACAAGCAGGGAAAAACCGAACATTCACAACGAAATCACGGCACAGAATCACAAATGCAACACAAATCCGGCACCAGTCAATAGCCCCAACCCCGGAAAGAAAAGACAGGACTTCAGACACGAGATCTACTCATACGCCGACACGAGACAGCTCAGGAAGTGATGAAAACTCATGGTTGGTTTAGGTCATTCAACGGCCTTGTCAAATCAGCCAATCATAATGCTCAGCTGAAGAGGAAACAGATAGCGCGCACCGTTTAAAAATCGAAAGTGGTGGCTAGCAAAATGTCCATGGTTTTGGCTGATTCTAGTGAAGTTCTTGGGAAATATGGCCATTTCCCAACAGGATGCGACTCAAAGAGACCTCTGTCGTCCGTATACTCAAGATTTGTCATTCTCGGAATGGAAAATTTCTCTAGCAAACCCTTTAAACATAGACAGCACGACAAGTGGAACGATCAACCCTGTGAAAAATGGCCTTTAAGTCACGGATATAGTGGGTCATCTGTATGGGTGTCACTGTCCCGTTAATCGATGAAGAGTAAATACGTGATCAATGCAGCCTCAAGCGAAGAGAAAGCAAATATGGCTCAACGAGGCCCAGTTTTTTGACACAGAATAGGACCTGGGGTAGCGAAAATAAGACAAACGCCTCGATGACTGGCGTAAATTCGCTTGATACTTTCGAAGATGGGGATGACGGTTGACAATCGTCAGCTTGAAGGCATCTATTCATCGTCGTAAATAACGTTGAATGGACTGCAAAGATCACCCACAAATGAGCCCATTCCAGTTTACAGTAAAGATGAAGAGACGGATGCATACCGTTGAGCAAGTAAAAGACTAATAGTTTTGGACGACGCAGTGCGTGAAGGAATTGGTTGGTCACTGAGTAGTGCTTTAGGTGATTGGTTTGCAATCAATGTGTCCAGGAATTCGAGCCTCTGCCCCTTCCTAGATATTTTTGCGTCTTGACAATGAAGCATCAGGGGAAGACCGATACTTTTTGTGATCACTTGTCGAATGAGACATCATATTCCATTAACAAAGTGAGTGAATCAAACATGAAATTCAATAGGCGCTCGATTTATGGAGCACAAGCAAAGTGAAAGGAATCGCCAGTGCTCTAGAAGCGTATTGGCCACACGTAGGAGTGTCGGCGAAGATGAGGTTTAGCTCAGTACGACCTTGTCTGCAAAGTCGATATCCCGTGGCTTCCAAAGATAATCGGGAGCTTGGAAAACCAAAGGGTCTCAGTGATATACATGGCATCTGACTTGACAATTTCAGCACAGGGAGTGTTGCAACAGCTCAGATAAATGAACCGATCGGTCAATCCGAGCAACTCGTTGTTACGATTGTGAGGATGCAAAATGTCAGGCAAACACCATGGAGTACGCAGTAACCCGAAGTTGAGAGCAAAGGCCAACGCACGTAGCACATAGAATTTGTTCAACCCAAAGTGAACCGTGTCTTCTACGTTTTGCTAACATGTCTATCGGTAAAGGCACAGCAGTACGCCAGCATGCATTACTGACGCTTCGCTGCCACGAGCAGTCGCGCAACGGCTGCCCCATCTCCTCGCAGGCTCGAACTCGCGATCTTGTCTTATCGTTCAAGTGCCAAATGTCAATCGGTTGCTCAGCGGAATCCTAACTCTGGCTAAGGTAGCTAGGACTCTGATCTCAAGCAAGGATAGAGAAAGGGAGATAGGGCAGTTCTGATGAGCTCCGCTTATCGTTGGAAATAGTGCTATAGATGCCTTACAGCAGAGAAGTAAGAACTAGTAAGAACTATATCAGTGGGCAGCGCGACAGACAAAAGGAAGAAATTAGTAAGGAGGAAATGCTCAGTGACTCATTTGAAGGGGTAATTCCACCCAAGCAGTTGACGGAGTGAAAACTCTAGTCCTGCAGGAGCAGAAACCTACCTGATGTTCACTGATCAAGCTAGTACGAAGACCAGAGGAAAGAGAAGAGGATGCATGTGAACACTGCATATTGTGTTAATATGGTCAGTAATCCGGTGGTTGTCACATAGTGTTGGGTGGCTCTTTGAAGAGAAATATTAAGAGTCGAGTAAAGTCGCTAGATCTATCAAAAGTGAGTAGTAATTGTGGTTCCGCAGCGGAAGAGGGGAGGTCATCGGTGTCGAACTACTTACTTCTCTTCGGAAACACGTGCGCCCTCTTCCCATTGTTGATGACAATCACCAGGTCGGTGGCCCACACTGGCTCGTGTGTTAGCTGGGCACACGAAGATCAAGCAATAAATTGCAATTTCCACATACTTATTAATACAGACCCCAAAAACAAGGAAGAGGTTCCGACGACACCTTTAAACGCCGTCA